GCCCAAACCTTTAGCTCCAGTGTGCATACACTGTGAGAGTTAATGTGCGATAGGTAGGGCATGGATCATGATATATAACGAAAAGTCTCGTCATATATGACGTAGAAATAATATCGTTAGAGAACTACTCTCTAGTGGAATTATCATAATTGACTATGTAAAGTCAAAGGATAAGGTGTCGGATCCACTTACAAAATGCCTAACTAGAGAGGGAGTTGATAAATTATGAAAGGGGATGGGACTATGGCCGAGGACAAGTCATTGTGGCAGTAACTCTACCTAGAAGACTGGAGATCCCAAGATCTAGGTTCAAGGAGATCAATGGTGTGCCGCGAAATCTTGGCACATTTGATGCTTGAAAACTAAGGATTAATACTAGAATCAAGTGTATTTTTGTATGCTTTATGTGTTTGTTGAATGTGTAGACATGTTTTTGCTTGCGTGAAAAAATGGAAAAATAAGCAGAAGATGATTGTGATCAAGTGAAGATCACGAGCACCTAGATGGGTCGTCGTCCTTGTTATGAACCGTGGTGCCAGTCGTGAAGCATTTCCAGTATAAAGTCTTGGAGAAGTTGAAATTTGGTTGGACCAGGTAAAGATCACGGCCAACCTCACGGACCGTGGTCCTCATAACGGTCTGTGGTTGTGATCGTGAAGCTGAGTCAATGTTTGGTCCTTGGGAAGATAGAGAGTGCAAGGACAACCAAGTAAAGACCATGGAAGGCCCCACGAGCTGTGGTCCCCATAATGACTCGTGGTGGTGATCGTGAAGATGATCCAGTGCTTAGGCCTCAATGAGCTGAATTAGGAAGTGACCAAGTGAAGACCATAGACATCTATACAAACCGTGGTCACTAGCACGATCCGTGGTATATTCCGTGATGATGAGCCAGTATACAGGCCTTGAAGAACCTGTTTTGGGTGAATCCAAGTGAAGACCACGAAGGACTTCATGGACCATTAAGCCCTTGACGGGTTGTGGAAGTTGTCGTGAAGTGTCCAACAGTTCAGTCCTACTTCAAGTAGGGCTCTTTTTAAAACACTTTATTTGAATTAATTAGGTTGTTTTTAGTTTATATCACGTCTTATCTGAAATGAAGAACAAAGTTTCCATTATTCTTAGCTTTTGCTTTTGAAGATTAACATAAAATTAAGTTTGGAAGTTGAAGTTCCGATTCTTGAATTATCAAAGTGCGTATCGATTTGCTTATTTTCGTAAGTATTTTCCTCGTCATGTTTTCATTATATTCTGCGGTAAGTCTAAGTGAAGTCATGAGTGGTTAAATACCACAACTGGGATTGTGGGATCTATGACATAAATCTAAGTGTAATTCTGTAATATGAGTGAAAGGCGATTTACATTTGCAAAGTATAGTTTAGCTTTCGTTATTCATGTATTTTAATGAGTGCACGCATTTGGGTGAGCCTATATCTATCATTTGTTCGAGATAAAAATGATAGTTAAGAAAAAGCTGAATTAGCCTAAAGAAATGGAGTCAAAGTTTGAGTTCGAGAGAAAAGAACTTCAACACTATTGTAAGTGAGGGAAAAACATGTAATACTCTGGGACCGAGAGGACTTTAGTGAAAATTATCTGATTAGACTGAGAAGCATCATATATAGTTAGCTCGCCTGCATTTTGTATAGATGAATTGCCTGAAAGTCAAATACGGAAGAACATTAGATGCAATGTTATGGGAAACACAATCCTAGTTTCATTTAATTATCCAAACAACTTTAGAACTGATATTCTGTTAATTGCTACATTAGATCTTAGTTAACAAGCTTGGTTACTAGAGCTTTATAGCTTAACCCAATTTTACTTTCCGTAACTGTTTCCTTAGGAAATAATAACGACATTTGAGTAAAATGCGACAGTGAAATCATTTCTATACAGAAATTCTCTGTGGAATTGGCCTCAACTCATGTTGAGTTCTATAAGTTGACTTCGACCGTTTATACCTCTTAATTGAGGTTTAAGTTTGGATGTATCAAATTTTGGCGCCGCTGCTGGGGAATTTCAATTCAGAATTATTTTACTAGCTTTTATTCGACTTGTAGTTATATTTCCTAATTTTACGTCTTGTTCTTTGTATGTGTCTCTTTCGGGTAAGTTCGACTGTGTATGCCCAATACTAGAAGTAAGGAATCCATAATGATCCCATACGACCCAGAACTTCAGAAGACACTCTGCAAAATGGTGAATGCACAAGAACTTGAGGCTCAGAGACAACCCGCCTAGGGTGGTGGAAGAAAACATGGCAGTAGATGAAATCATTCCTCCCCACTGCTAACCAGTAGCTCCAAGGGGTAGAGCACAACATCCAGCTCACATGATGTATGAAAAGGTTGGCTTAGACTTGGATGGAGCTGGAGCCATGAGCGATAGTGTTACATTCACTATCTCCAAGTGTGAAATTCACAATCACCAGTACTATGATTCAACTGCTGAATCTGAAAGGTATGGTAAGGGGAGCAGTTGGTGATGATGCAAATCGACATTTAATGAACTTTGTGGTGATCTGCAAATCGTAAGAAATTCTTGGAGTTAGTTAAACAACAATAAGATTGAGGCTGTTCACATTGTGTCTTACTGGGTAGGCGACCAATTGGTTAAATGAGATGCCTGATGACTCAATTAGGACTTAGACTGAACTGAAGGAGGCTTTCCTAGAACGATTCTTTCCGGAATCAAAAGAGCTGCAAATGAAGGGTGAGATAAGTGACCATAAGCAATTATTAGGAGAAGCGATGCATGACAGTTGGTGGAGATTCAACCAAAACCTGAATAAGTATCCAAACTATGGTCTCACTAAGAGCATAAAAAACAAGCTTTCTATAGATCTTTAAATTATGTTACAAAACCTGTTGCTGATGCAATGTGTGCAGGATTATTCATGAGGAAGATATTCTTAGAGAGCATGAAACTGATAGATGAGGTGTCTAAGAATAATATGGTATGGTATACCAGGGATGCAGAAGTGGGGGATCTTGGGTTCACTTTTGAACTTTCAGCCTAACAAAGGAAAAGAAGAAGAAAGAGACCAGGACATGACACACATGAGGACCCAAATAGATCTGCTCATGAAGCATATTGCCGCGAGTTTTGAAAAGGTAAATGTTGTAGAAACTCCAAACATGTATGAATATCAAGACATTGATCTAGATGAGGAGGCTAAATACTTGGGAAACCAAGGAGGTTTCTAAAATTATAACTCAGGAAACCAAGGTTACAATTCTGGAAATACAGGTCGGAACTAATCCAGAGAAGGACAGTATGACAGGCCGGCAACTAGAGAGCAGGGAAACTGGAAGAATAGAGATGGGTATAGAAATTATCGCAATGGTGTGTATGTGCCCCCATGTAATAGAGACTGAGTAAGTGATAGTTCCAGCTGGTCTAAGCTAGAAGACATGATGGCTAAGGTGCTCCAAAAAGTTGAGTCAACTGATGCAGGGGTGAATGAGATGAGAGGTGACTTCTCCAGTATGAGTCAACTGGTATATTCTCAAACTACCTCCATTAAGAAAATATAGCAGCAGTTGGGGCAGCTTTCAGCATCACTAAATCAAAGGAAGAATGGGTCACTGCCTAGTGATACTATTCAAACTCCTAAGAAGGACGGGCATTGCATGGCTATCGCCACCAGGAGTTGTAAGATTCTTAATAACCCAATTTCTACAGGTACTAAGTATGAACATGTGGTGGAGCAAAATAAAAGAGAAGAGGTTGAAGCTGAACAAGTAGATGACTTGAAGGATTCTCAACCAATAGCACAACCCACAAGAGGAAATGAGAAAGAGGTTGAGGGAACTATGCCTTTACAACAGATCCCAAGGACACCTCTTTCTTTCCCTCAACGACTTAAAAAGAAAGTCGAAGATGGGAAATTTGGGAAGTTCATCACCATGCTGCAACAACTGTCAGTAAACATTGTTAACTTAATGTATTTTGAATAATTACAGGAAATCAAGGAGAACAAAATATGCGGATATCTACAAAAGAAGGAAATAAGATAAATCAACAGAGTGATTCAAGCAGAAGATCTGGAGATCATACAACCTTCATCAAAGGAGGATAAATGGATACTACATCAATCAGATATCCATTTATTAGAAGCCAAAAAGGAAATGACAATCAAGATGACAAGGCAAATCAATTTGAGTCAATCAGATTACAAATCACTAGAAGCCAAACTGGAAAAACAAAATAGACAGCAATTCAAGATGGCAAGAAACATCAACAAAGGATCAACTTACTGATCCCTAAAGATCACTAGGATTCGAAGGAATTTTGCACAAGCCTCCAACCAATTTCTGATTCAAGGCAGAACCAAAATTGGTATCTCAAATCAAGGTCTCAATCAAGGAATCATTACAAATCATTGATTGAAGGAAACTCCCTTGGGTTTTCTTATTAGAGCAAAAGTCACCTCAACACTCATCCTATAAATGAAGAACTGGATAGACGACGAAACTACGCAACTTCACTTGAAATTATAATTGTAATCTTCTTTAATCTTTCATAAAGCTTTGTACACGTGAGTGAACAATTGTAAAAGCACTACAAGAAAAATGGTCACTAGCGAAGGGAAATCAGGTCCCTAAAAGTCCATTTCTGGTCCCTAAAACGTATTAGAGACGAGAAAAATCTGGTCGCCACTCGTCCCTATAGCCTCCGTCGCTATTGACATTTAGAGACGAGATTTTGTAACTGGTCCTTGAAGACCTTTAGGGACAGACAAATTTATGGTCCCTAAATGGCATTTAGGGACCAAATTCCTGGTTCCTATTCGAGAATTGTAATATATTATTTCTCGTCGTAGTTCATCATTAGTGACCCAGTTTACGGTGCTTAAAGTTTTTTATGTGCAACATAATATGGTTATTGACTGTAATTTGTAGTATTATAAATTCTGGTCCTAAACTATAATATTACCAAAATTATACAATGGTTAAAATTTGAAACATAAAAATTAGACACATAATAATCAAATTTTGGATTAAAATAACATTAGTAGAATTATATAACAATAACGTAAGTCATTGTATTGTTTACACAACCCTTCCTTGAATCTAACATCTGTACAAAAAGATACAAATTATTCACCTAATACAACAAAAATAACTAAGAAACTTGTCAACTAGTATCTTTCCTTTCTTTTGCCACTTGACTTGTTAACTGAAAAATTCAATGCCTGTATTGGATATGAGATATATTAGTTCATATGTAATTATTTTGAGCTTACACCTATCACATTCTATTTAGTGCAACTCATAACCTTCAAAATTCAAACATAAATATAGAAGGACATGCGAGAATATATGCAAACAGCAATATGTTAGAATATCTAAAATTGACTTGAAGTTATCTTCTGGTAAAACAAAATTATCATTACCAATGAAAAACATAATAGAGAATGTATGGTCAGGTTATTGTTATTCCATTTATCAGGTTGATTATAATTCAAATACCAATCAACATAACAAGATAAGGCCTTTTCGGTGCATTTCTATTCAGATGCAGATTGCCTTCATTTACTTACATTGAAAAATTCACAAAAACATCAGTCTCATTTATTCATGTAAAGTCATATAACATGGTATACAAAATATACTTTAAGCTCAAAGCTGAGAGCTCGAACATGAATTTATGTGTACTTAAGATCAATTCTTTCAAAAATCACATACAATAAGCATTTAATAAGAGTAACACTACAAAGACAAGTCTGCAACAATATTCAAATAAAAGAGTGTCTAAGTAATACTTTCCAAACTTTAGAAGCTACAATAGTATCCATCTGGTGACCAACACAATAATTTCATACTCTATGCATAGTATCCTAATAGTTTTTGGAACAAGCTATATAACATTCAACAATCACCTAAAAGGGAAACCTTGAACAACCACGCCTAAAAGGCCCGAAACCTTGTACAACCACACCTAAAAGGGAAACCTTGAACATCCCAACCACACCTCTAAAATCTCTTAAGCCATGTAATTCCGATATAGATATATAAAGGTCTAATTTTCAAACAATAGAACACTAAAAATGATATCACTGGACTTTACCCATTCAAGAAAAATAAAAGGCAAAGAGAGTAACAAAATATAGAGCTAAACCCAAAATAAGAACAAGTTGGAACTACCTTGGTATGTACTTCAGTGTCTTGATCATTTTCCTGCAAATGTAACCAACTAATGCATTATATACAATAAGCTCTCAGTCCTCATCACCATAATAAAACAAAAATAAATAAATTAATACCAGCGAACATGACCAACTCATACATTTAGGCACCAATCTTAACCTTAAAACAAAATGTTCTTCAACATCAAAAGAACTTTTTGAACAACTTTAAATAATAATCAACTTTTTTTTATGACAAGGAAAACCCGCAGCCGCTACCCTTTGGGTGCACACATGGTAAAACCCCTGCTCCTTTGCACCAAACTTTATGCTGTAAATACTATTTTTGTATTCAAGATCACATTATAATTCATTTAGCCGACTTAAACCAGCAAAATAAATTGATGTTTTGTTAGTCGTTACTCACTTGGTATCTCATTTTCAAGAAATAGATGATGTTGGAGACTGAAAATTAATGTGTTGAGCTTAAATTAATTTATTTAATTGCTTAAGCTCATTTATCTTTTCTTATGCATGCAAATTCTTGAAACAAAATAACATTATCATTTCTTTTTAGAGGCCAAAGACCTTTAACAGCAAACAGAGAAGGAAATTTCAATCACGCCAAATAGAAAATAGGTAGTTAGGATAGTAGCACATGACAACATATATAGGATGGACGGACAATTACTTTTGCTGCGTGATACTACATAGAGAAACTGAGAAGTCAAGAGAAATTCGAGCACAAGAGCATGAAGAACATCTAGGCCAAAAATAACAACAAAAACAGGGGCTCAATCTTATACACCAATTTCTTCAAAATAATATTATGCTAACAGTACTTCCAAATTAAACTTGTAATTTCTGCATCAATCGTTAACTTTAGCCCAACTTTGTGCTATAGTCAAGTATTATCTCAACAACAAAGTGTCATATATGATAATCTCTAGTTTAGACTACAACTCCACTTTAACTATTCAGTGAAGTTATTCATTCTGATACAATTGAATATTAAGTTGAGATAAAAGATAAACTCTATAAAGAACTTTATTACTCCTACACTTTTACTTTCATTATAAGCTAATATATCATGCACTCACTATCTCCTATCAAGAACAAGTTAAAAAGCAAGGAGTTTCAGCACACACAAACATAAAATCTTATTTTTATTCTGCATATAAAAAAATCAAGGGATGAGCTTTGTTAATGCACTTAAGAAGAGCAATTTAACTCCACAAAAACTAAGTTTTGAATCAATATAGAGTCTAGATTATAATGCTTAAAACTAAGGAAATGTGAATATTAATTTGGAGAGAGCATTTCTTGATAGAATGAACATAAATATTTACAAAGAAGAGCTTCAACCAATGAGTCTGTCACTCCAACTAGAGTGTCACTCATTAAATAGACGCATATCTGTCGAAATACTTTCATTGGAAAATCTCTTTGAGATGCTATAACAAAACCAATTCACACATTTTTTCTTTCTCATCTGATTATTTTTTCAATCAGATTATACTTACCAAATATACAAAGTTTGTTACGATTGAAAAATCCTTAAAAGTTCACAGTAAAGAAACTGAATAAGAGGATCTTTAATTTTTTTACCAACTCATCATCTCATAAGAAATACCATAATGACAACACTAAAAAACACCATCGTCCTTTCAAGAAAGTCCCCAAAAGACATGCTTATCACAACCCTAATTAACAAATTCCTAAAATACACTCTAAAACATTCTTCCTAAACCTCCAAGATCTAGCTTTAAACCAAGAACTATAACGTGTATCCCTCATATAACAACAATTAGTATCCTAAACAACCCCAATCTAAAAACACTCGATCAAAAAAATAGAAAGGACGGAAGGAAAATAAGTCCGATTTCAATTGGAAAACAAGAAGACGTAGACAAATCAGATGTAAGAGAAAGAAAAACTTACTCATGAATGATGTAGAATGGCAGTGCTAGACAAGAAGGTTTTTCTTCCACTTTTTTTTTAGAGAGGAGAGAGTGGCGGGGTTTAGGGATTTGAGAAAGAATTTATTTGAGAGCCTTCTTAGTATATACTGCATTTTATCTTTTAGAGACGGGTTGTTTTCCTTTTCATATACCCATTCGGGTATTAAAATATAAAACTATGAATTCGGGACGAAGTAAAATTATCATCCCTATAAGTATACTTTTTGGGACCATATTTACTATCCGTCCCAAAATCATGGTCTTTAATAAACCTTTTTCTTGTAGTGAAGAAAAAGAGAAGGAAAGATTCTTAGTGTAGGTTATACAAGTAGAGGCAGTGTCAACATAGAAACTCTGATTTGCATATCAGACATGACTTGAAGATTGCACCTCCTGTACGAACAAGTTTGCAACAAGCTCTAAAGGAAACCCTTGAAACCTAAGGGGACTGGACTAGGCACCACATCGGTGATCCGAACCATTATAAAAACATCTTGTGTCATTTTACTTTCAGTAGCTTATCTTGTTTTATACTGTGGAACTAACATGCAGGTGAGTCGACTACTTCTCACAGGAAGTTGACTGAAGGAATTTTAATTCACCCCCCCCCTCTTGACTTTCAATTGGTATTAGAGCAGGTCTCACTATTTCAGTGTTTAACCACACGTGAGCAAAGATCCAATGGCACACTATCAGCTTCCAGGCGCTTTACTTCAAGATGGACATTCTTCACATCGACCACCATACTTCAATGGACAACATTACTCTCATTGGAAAGACAGATTCAAAATCTTTGTTTCCTCAATGATCATCAAGCATGGATAGTAATCAAGAAGGGCCCAAAGCCTATTCCTGGACTGATTGAAAAAAATGGCACTGAAAAGCCATTTGATCATGAATCATTTGACATCACTAAGGAACGACAAGAGGTAATTCAAACTAACGCTAGAGCTATACGTTTGTTATATTGTTCAGTGAGTGGAGCCGAATATGATAAAATATCAACATGTGAAACTGCGAAAGAAATGTGGGACAAACCAGAAGTGACTTATGAAGAAACCACTAAAGTAAAGGAAGCTCAGATCAGTTCTCTTGTAAGCGAATATGAGTTATTCAAAATGGCCGAAGATGAAAACGTTGAATCCATGTTCTCGAGATTCAGTAGAATTATCTGTGAACTCAAATCACTTGGAATGGTGTACTCTAATGCACTACAAGTCAGAAAAATCATTAGAAGTCTTCCTAAGGCATGTAAAACTAAAGCTGCCATTCTTGAAGATGGAGATCTACAGAAGATGACATACGATGAACTTCGAGGCAACTTAATGACCTATGAACAAAATCATATTAACAGGTACAACAAGGATGATAAGAAGAAGACAGTGGCATTCACAGCCGAGACATCTGATATTGGAGAAGAAGTCGATGAAAATCAAGACGAAGGAATGGCTCTTATAAATCGAGGAGTGAGACAAATGCTTAGACAAAGAAGACAGAGACCTCAACAAAAGAACGATTTCAATATGAATGATGATCGATGCTACTATTGTGGAAAACCAAGACACATCACACAAAATTGCCCAGAACGAAGAAAAAGAAGTAATCGAAAAAACAAAGATCCTAAAAGTCTGGGAGCATGGGATCAAGGAGAAACAACTGATGATGAACATGATGAAATGGCCAACCTATGTTTCATGGCACTAGGTGAAACAAGTGAGGTAAGACCATTTAACTGTCTTAATTGACTTACAGAACTCCTTGGACATGGTTACTGATGAATTACAGAAAGTTATTGACGAATACAATAAGCTTGCTCAAGAAAAGAAAGACTAGCAGATTCTTCTCGAAGCAAGTCAATTTGAAGTCGACTTACTTACAGAAGAACTAGAGGAAATAAAAATGCAGCTGAACAGCATCAGAAAATCGCCTAGTCACAGTTCTGTTCGATCTAACCGAACTACTCTCTATAGGAAAAACTCTCCTAATCGTAGCTCCAACAAATCAAATAAATCTAGTTCTAATTCTTATTCTCATGAAACTTATTGAAGTATATCTAGTTGAAGGGCTCAAGCACAATCTTCTGAGCATCAGTCAACTATGTGATGCTGGATTCCAAGTCACATTCAACACAACAAGCTACATTATCAATCATCCTGAGAAAAAGCTTACTCTCATTGGAGATCGAGTAAACAATATATATGTTTTAAATAATGTTGATTTTTCTTCTCTTACTTGTCTTACTGCAGTCACAAGTGATCCTTGGCTATGGCATCAAAAACTTGGACACGCAAGTATGCATGCTTTTGAGAAATTCTCTAAACTTGAGCTAGTCATTGGCTTACCAAAACTAAAATTTGAGTAAAATCACATTTGTGATGCATACCAATTGGGTAAGCAGACTCGTTCATCTTTTAAAATAAAAGACATTGTAAGTACCTCTAAACCTCTTCAGCTTTTTCATATGGATTTGTTTGGTCCTACTTGAACTGCAAGCATTGGAGTTAAAAGATATGCTTTTGTAATTGTCGATGATTTTTCAAGGTTTACATGGGTAATATTTCTCCCTCACAAAAATGAAGCATTTGCTAATTTTGAAGAATTTTGTAGAAAAGTTCAAAGAGAAGAAGGTTATTTTATTACAACTATCCAAAGTGATCATGGTGGTGAATTTGAGAATAAGGCATTTGAAGAATTCTGTGCTCAAAATGGGTTCACTCAAAAATTCTCTTCGCCTAGATCACCTTAGAAAAACAGAGTAGTAGAAAGGAAAAATCATTCTTTACAAGATACAGCAAGAACCATGCTACTCGATCGAAATCTCCCGGACCACTTTTGGGCAGAAGCTATAAGTACTGCTTGTTACATTCTTAACAGATGTCTCATCAGGCCTATATTGAAGAAGACGCCTTATGAACTCTTGAGAGGAAAGAAACAAAACATCTGTTACTTTCATCCTTTTGGTTGTAAGTGTTTTATCCACAATAACGGTAAGAATAATCTTGGTAAATTTGATCCAAGAAGTGATGAAGGTATTTTCCTAGGCTATGCACCATATAGCAGGGCTTTTCAAGTTTTTAATAAAAGAACCTTAAGTGTTGAAGAATCTGTACATGTGGTATTTGATGATACTAATCCAAGATTGCAGGAAATAGAAGTTGGTGATGATGAAACTGCATCATTCAATCAATCTGAAGCCATCTCAGAAGTCATTATTGAAACTAATACTGAAGAGCTAGCTACTGTAGAGGTGGAGTCGACTACTCCAGTTGACAAAACTAATATCCCCAGGGAATGGAGACATAATGCAAGCTATCCTGAAAACTTCATTCTGGGAAAACCAGATGACAAAATTCAGACAAGATCTTCTCTTTGAAAGCAAGCCTCTTTGGCCCTTGTATCTCAAATGTAACCAAAACGAATAAACGAAGCTATGGAAGATGAATCCTGGATACAAGCAATGCAAGAAGATCTTGATCAATTCGAAAAAAATCAAGTATGGACTCTTATTGGAAGACCAAAAAATTGCTCAGTTATCGGAACAAAATGGGAATTTCGAAACAAGATGAACGAAGAGGGAAAAGTTATTCAAAATAAAGCAAGACTTGTAGGTCAAGGCTACTCACAACAAGAAGGTATTGACTACGATGAGACTTTTGCTCCCCTAGCTAGGTTAGAATCAATTCGAATTCTTTTAGCATATGCCTCTTATAAGCGGTTTAAACTTTTTCAAATGGATGTCAAAAACTCCTTTTTAAATGGTTTTATAAAAGAAGAAGTGTTTGTCAAACAACCCCCTGGTTTAGAAAATCCTTCTTTCCCCGACTATGTCTTTAAACTTTCTAAAGCTCTCTATGGTCTTAAGCAAGCTCCAAAAGCTTGGTATGAAAGATTGAGCACTTTTATTATAAATAATAATTTTCATCGGGGTAAAATTGACACCACTCTTTTTACTCAGAAAATTGATTCCTACATTCTTATTGTTCAAATTTATGTTGATGATATTATTTTTGGTAGTTCTAACCCCTCTCTCTGTGAGAACTTTGCAAATCTTATGAAAGGTGAATTCGAAATGAGTCTCATGGGAGAAATTTCATTCTTTCTTGGTCTACAAATTAAACAATGTGACAAGGTATCTTCATCAGCCAAGGTAAGTATGAAAAAGAACTCATAAAGAAATTTGGTTGGACAAAGGTAAAGCTTTTGGAACTCCTATGAGTCCCTCTACCTATTTAGACATTGACTTAACAAGAAAGGAAGTTGATGAAAAATAGTATCGGGGAATGATTGGATCTCTACTCTATCTTACTTGTAGTCGACCGAACATTATGTTCAGCGTATGCAAGTGCGCTAGATTTCAATCGGCTCCAAGAGAATCACATCTCACTGCCGTAAAACGCATAATTCGATATCTTATTGGAACCTCTGATATGGGGTTATGGTATCCTTTTTCTGACAATTTTGATCTCATTGGATATTCAGATGCTGACTTTGCAGGAGATAAAAAGGACAGAAAAAGTACCAGTGGTACATGTCAATTATTGGGAAAATCCCTTATATCCTGGTACAGTAAGAAACAAACCTCTGTGGCTCTCTCCACTACCGAAGCTAAATACTTGGCAGTGGGTAGTTGCGGTACTCAACTTCTATGGATGATGCATCAACTATTGGACTATGATTTATCCTTTAAAAGTGTTCCTATTTTTTGTGATAATACTAGTGCTATTAGTCTATCTAAATATACTGTGCATCATTCTAGAGCAAAGCATATAGATATCAAACATCATTTTATTCGTGATCATGTTGAAAATGGGGATTTCATTTTAAAATTTGTTGATTATGATAATCAATTGGCAGATATTTGTACAAAACCCCTGCTAGAAGAAAGATTTTGCTTCCTTAGAAATTGTCTTGGTATTACTGTTTTTTCAAATTAATTATCCTTATTTTTATTTGTTTTTATTACTAATCCTTATTGTTTGCTCTATTTATGGCCAGCTTTGATCTCCGTTCCTTTTTAACTTCCTAGACTCTTCCTTTTCTGCAAAACCCCTCTCTTCAATCACATCTCTCTTTTCTTTTTCATACTCGTCTTCATCTTCCCTGCTCCTCTTCTATATTTGTCGCCTCTACTCCCCTGTTCTTCATTACCCTTCTTTCTCTTCTCTCACTATGACCAGCACCAGATCAATGGCCTCTCTGAAAAATGTTTC